CCCGAGGGGAAGGGGATGGTAAAGAGGCAGCTGCAAGCCGGCTGCACGCGCCCACCCCCACCACCGTACCCCTTGTACGACACCCCAGCCACTCGTGCGGACTTCTTGCCCGCTTGCTTGCATGCCTGCTCGCTCGCTAGCTTGCTTGCTTGCCTGCTTGTCTGTCGTAGACTCCTCGGGGCGCCTGTCTTCTCTCTCCCCCTCTTGCCCTCAGCCTTCTGCTTCCTCCCCTCGTCGCCCGTTGCACCGGTTACACTCTCCTGTTTGTCTCTTGTCTCTGTTCCACGGGCCACGATAACTCCGTACCCCGACGGCACGCGCCGCGTGCCACCTCCTCGTGACGTCAGACCTTTCTTTTTAAGCGTATTACGCTTCTTACGTGTCGCGATACGCCGGGACCGAACGTGTTACCCAGCCTGGATTGCTCCGGTCGCGATACGCGCGTGACCCATCGAGCCGGCCCGCTACTCGTTAATTTGATTACGGCGAGGGCTGCTCCCCTCTGCGCCTTCGAGGAAATCGTTTTATAAGATGCAGTTTTTTCGCGCCGCGAGCTTTCCGGTTAGACGCCGCAGTTGGTACGCGTTCTCGTGTCACCCTTCCGTCTCTTTCAACGGAACTCGTAATACGTAAAAGTCTCCTGGGCCGGTCTGACGTCACTCGTTGCAAAACCTGATGGGGTGCGAACCCCTCCCGTAATGGTCCCCTGCCCCTCTGCACGGAACGCCTAAGTATACGCAGCGGTGCACGGGGTGACAGATTATTACGGTGCACATACTGCTCCTCGCAAGCTTTTGTATTCGGAACATAATGCTCTGGACCTGTCTCGGGCACGAATCGACGTCCCCCTTATTGTAACCCGGCGCGAATCGCATTTTTCGTTCCCTCCTCCCCTGTGTTTAGTTTTCGCAGCCTGTCCGGGCTTCGCAAAGTGCCGAGGGCTCGATCGTAAATCTAATTGCATAACGTTAGTCTTGGTCCTCGATTGTTTCGGTGCTGTTTCAGCGCTTCGTTCGACGACGCTGCTAGAAAGTTTCGGAGCTCGGTGGAGCACGAAATCATGGTCGCGAGTAAACGAGCAGTGATAAGGTGTCACGCGGCAGAAAGAAGCCTTTGTTGTTTTCGTGGCGTG